CTAACTCTATGGCTAGTCCAATCAGTCCATGAAGTTAGAACGTTCCAAAATAGTCTGATACAATAAATGTACTCTATGTATGTATATAAGTTTTTCATTACATGCCTTTTATGCAAAGAGATTCGCATTTTTTTTTTTTCAAAAAATGAGAATTAGTTGTGGGACCCACTCCACTTCTAATTTCAATGATCTGAACTGTCTATTTTATAACTCTCGATTCATAGATCATTCTTACAAAAATTCAATTCAACCCGAAACCATTTGCCTACTTAATTATCACAATGAAATTTCGTTGTTTTTTATCAAACAAAGTATTCGTTAATTTCTTTGAACCTAATTCGATGTCTCAGACTCTCAAATATTTTGTGAGGATAATCTATGAAGTGCAACTTGAAAAATAAACGATTCGGATCTTTGAAGTTCAATATGAAATGAACTCCACAACTAGTCTAGTTAGTTCATAAAGTTAATTCAATCCGAAATAATCTGGTACAATAAGCTTGTGTGGTATGCTATGAAAAGCGCAGTACGGCCAGGTAGGCCTTATGTAGGCAGTTCATTCACTCATCACTGCCCATTTCTCGTGAAGGCCTACGTGACAAAGAATTTCATCTCTCTTCCTTCCTTCCTTCCTTCCTTCCTTCCCTCCCTACTCCTGTACTCCTTTCAGTTCAGACCTACAAATCTCTCTCTCTCTCTCTCTCTCTCTCTCTCTCTCTCTCTCTCTCTCGCGTACCAAAAACATTGTACTCTTTACTCTTTCTCCCATTTCTCACAAAAGCCTTTGCCTCTGGAGTATGGACTCATTTTCTTGTTTGGTTCTGCAACCAAGGCTTCTCTTTCTGTAAGTAAAATGATATGATTTGGCCATTTTCCATGTACAAAATCACAACCCTTGTTCCATAGTTCAATCATCTTCTTACCTCTTTTTTTTTTTTTGCTTCCTCCTGTTTTTCTCTCTGCACTCTACTGTACCAGTAGCTCTTTCCTTTCATTTGAGTCTTCAATCAGTTCCATCCCTGAAATCAAAACCCTTTGATGTTGTGCTTTCCTTTTTATCTTGTTACCCTTAGAATTAAGGAATACCCCGATAAATTAAGGGATTGGGTTTGCTCTCTGATGCAATGCTGAAATGCGTTTTGTCAAAAAAGTTGACAGCTGATTTGGGGTCATGGTTTTTCATGGTGAACAAGAACAAGAACAAGAACAAGGAAGACTGACATTTGGTTGCAATTCAGAAGCTGAAAACTAAATCATTGAAGAAAAAAAAAGAATTGGGTTTTGGAGGTTGAAGGGTTTTATGTATGCTCTTGTCACTGTTTTGGAGTTCAGAGAAGAAAGTTGAGTTCTTTTCCACAGGGAAAGTGTTGCAGACAGCCCAAAAATGGAGGTTTTGTATTTGTTTTGTGTTCTTCTTGTTGGGTTTCTATCCAAGTCTCATCTTGTGGCTGCTCAGCTTCATGATCAAGCTACATTGCTCGCCATTACCGAAGAGCTCGGAGTACTCGGTTGGGGTGGCAACGGCTCAGATTACTGCTCTTGGCCCGGCATTGGCTGCGGTTTGAATCATTCCATGGTGGAAAAGCTTGATCTTTCGCACCAGAACCTCCGAGGTAATGTGACTCTTGTTTCCGAGCTCAAGGCTTTGAAGAGGCTTGACTTGTCGTACAATGATTTCCATGGACCAATTCCTTCAGCTTTTGGGAATTTGTCACAGCTTGAGTTTCTTGATTTGGCTTTGAATAAGTTTGGAGGTTCAATTCCGCCTGAGCTCGGTAATCTCAAAAACCTTAGATCATTGAACCTCTCCAATAACTTCCTAGTAGAAGAAATACCTGATGAAATTCAGGGGCTAGAGAAGTTAGAGGATTTTCAAATTTCTAGTAATAAGTTGAGTGGTGTCATCCCACTTTGGGTGGGGAATTTCACCAACTTGAGAGTTTTTACTGCCTATGAGAATGCATTTGAGGGTAAAATTCCAGATACTCTAGGCTCGGTTTCTAAGCTCAAATTGTTGAATCTGCACTCTAACCAGCTAGAAGGCCCAATTCCCAAAAGCATTTTTGCTTCAGGGAATCTGGAGTTTTTGGTTCTGACCCAGAACAGACTAGGTGGAGATATTCCTGAAGAAATTGGAAGCTGCAGTAGCCTTTCGAGTATTCGAATTGGTAACAATAATCTTATAGGTAGCATTCCTCATGCAATTGGAAATGTTAGTGGCCTTACATACTTTGAGGCAGACAATAACAATCTTTCTGGTGAGATTACTCCCGAGTTTTCCAAGTGCTCCAATATCACCCTCCTAAATTTAGCCTCAAATGGATTTACCGGGAAAATTCCTCCGGAGCTTGGCCAGCTCATGAATCTGCAGGAATTGATTCTCGCCGGCAACAGTCTGTTTGGAGATATTCCGAAATCAATTCTTGATTGCAAGAATCTTAACAAGCTTGATCTGAGCAATAACAGAATCAATGGTTCCATACCAAGTGATATCTGCAACATGTCGAGATTGCAATACTTGCTATTGGGTCAGAATTCGATTCGGGGGGAGATACCTCACGAGATTGGAAACTGTGTTAAACTGCTTGAGTTGCAGATGGGAAGAAACTATTTGACTGGCAGTATCCCTCCTGAAATTGGTCATATCAAAAACTTGCAGATTGCCTTAAACTTAAGCTTCAATCATCTCCGCGGACCTATTCCCGCAGATTTAGGGAAACTTGACAAGCTGGTTTCTCTTGATGTCTCCAACAATCAGCTCTCTGATGCTATTCCAACTGCACTTAAGGGCATGTTAAGTTTGATAGAGGTTAATTTCTCCAACAATCTGTTCACTGGCCCAGTACCAACATTCGTGCCATTCCAGAAGAGTTCGAATTCAAGTTTTCTTGGGAATAAAGGGCTTTGTGGAGAACCACTGAGCTCCTTATGTGAAAATTCTAAAGGTGGTGACCGAGCAAATTATCATCATAGGGGTTCTTTCAGGTTCATACTGGCAGTTATCGGCTCTGGTTTAGCAGTTTTTATATCGGTAACCATTGTTGTTTTGCTGTTTATGATAAGAGAGAGACAGGAGAAGGCAGAAAATGCTACAGGGACTGAAGACGAGGCAGCCAACAACCTACCGGTGATAGCAGCAGGCACTGTCTTTGTTGAGAATCTCAAACAAGCAATAGATCTTGATAGTGCCGTTAAAGCAACCATGAAGGCTTCAAACAAGATCAGCACCGGGACCTTTAGCACGGTTTACAAGGCTGTTATGCCGTCTGGGCTAATCATATCTGTGAAGAGACTGAAATCTATGGACAGGACAATCATTCATCACCAGAACAAGATGATCCGAGAGCTCGAAAGGCTGAGCAAACTCTGTCATGATAACCTAGTGCGTCCTATCGGATTTGTTATTTACGAGGACGTTGCTCTCTTGCTGCATCATTACTTGTCCTATGGGACATTATGTCAGCTTCTTCATGAATCCACAAAGCTGCCCGAATATGAACCTGACTGGCCAAAAAGACTCTCTATTGCCATAGGAGTAGCAGAAGGGTTGGCTTTCCTTCACCATGTAGCGATTATCCATCTCGATATTTCTTCTGCTAATGTTCTTCTGGATGCTAACTCCAATCCTTTGGTTGGAGAGATCGAGATATCGAAGCTCTTGGATCCATCCAGAGGTACAGCCAGTATCAGCGCGGTTGCAGGCTCCTTTGGCTACATTCCTCCAGGTATATTTTTTTTTATACAGTTTATTCTTCATTCCTTTCACTTGGTAGCTTTGTTAGTGTGCTAAGCTAGTTTTGTGTTCTTCCTCTCTTCTGTCATCAGAATATGCATATACAATGCAAGTTACAGCGCCTGGAAATGTCTATAGCTATGGTGTAGTTTTGCTTGAGATCCTTACAACCAAATTACCAGTAGACGAAGCCTTTGACGAGGGGGTAGATTTGGTGACGTGGGTGCATAATGCTCCGGCAAGAGGCGAAACCCCGGAGCAGATTCTCGATGCAAGGCTCAGCACTGTGTCCTTCGGTTGGAGGAAAGAAATGCTTGCAGCACTGAAGATTGCTTTGCTCTGCACTGACAGCATACCCGCCAAACGTCCGAAAATGAAGAAGGTTGTGGAAATGCTGCAAGAAATCAAGAAAAACTGATGGATGGTAAGTCATTTGAGTCTTCTATGTCCTGAACGCATCAATCATATCATCCATCTGGTTGTTCGGGGTGTTCAAGAAATGAAGCGAAAAGGCGGTTGTAATCGGTTCGAGTTGAAGCAGGAAGAGGGGGTGGATGAATGCAGGGAAAGTCCTCCCACTGGAAAGGATTAGTCTAAGTTTCTGTTTACATTTAGGTCCATATCATATATTGTGGTTCCTGGTTTTTGCGATTTATATGTGAAGGTGCATGTTATGGCTTCGCTTTCAATCAAGTTCACACCTCTTTGCATTGAAAAACTAGTCCATATCTGATTCAAATCACTTAGGTGATTTCCAATGGAGAAGGCTAAAGTTTCAAAAGCTGAGAAATGACCTGATTTGCGCAAAAACTCATCTTCAACCGATGACTAGGCCAAATGTGGTCTCCCTCTTAGCCCTTTTTTGAGACTCAGCTCCAAATTCGATGGCTAGATTTAAAAACATCCAATGGTAGTTTAATTATATCAACTAATAAATTTATGTTATAAACTTAAAACTAATAAATTATTGAAGCTATATTTAATCCATTTGGTTGGAAATGGCATGAATATGACATGACACCATTCATTTAAGAATAATTTTTTGTAGGACCATAATTCTGATTGGGCTATGTTTAACCTTTTCGGTTGGAGATGGCTTCGTGTAACCATCATTTCTCAATTGTGAATGCATCAGATCCAAGCTTTGGTATGAGAATTCTCCATCCACTTAAGCTTGTCGGGGGGCCTTGAGGCCATCTGTTTCTAGTTAAAGCTTAAATAATCGGAAATTGACTGAACCAATTGTTGAAATGATTAAGAGACGACATACCGACCAAATATTGACTGTTTCATTCAAATACATACATATCGATAAAATCCGGAAGAGTGATCAATACACGGTGATTCATAGTTGGGTTATTGTACCTCAGATTTAGGATTCCCTGACATTTTTATTTTGGTACAAAAAAGTTCATCACAACATTATCAAACCAGCCTAACATTTATTTTGCTAATCCTTCGATCCTTCTTTCAGCTCACAACACACATAAACGGAGTGAAGATCCGGATTATCAAACCAGCCTAACATTGATTTTGCTAATCCTTCAATCCTTCTTTCAGCTCACAACACACATAAACGGAGTGAAGATCCGGAAAATCTTCAAGAGTCGGTGCGGGACTTGACAATGAAATTCTGACGGCTAATGGGATTCATGACCACCGGTGGACCGGCAGTCCGAGGCCATGCCTGAAACTTCTTGTCAGTTTCTTCCCACCATTCTTTGTTTGCAACAGTTGACGGAGTACTTCCTGAGTTTATCAACAAAGATAATGCCATCAGGCTATTGCAACAACTATTACGCCATAAATTTCCTAAAAAAAAAAGATGTAAATAGAACAAACTTGCCTCCAAATATTTTCTTGTCAGCGAAATAATGGTCAGCTACCCATGCCACTGCAAATGATCCCAAAACAGCAGGAATGATGTATTTTGCACGCATCTTCAAATTTCAAACTGCCAATGAGAAACATAACCCGGTTTCGTGAGAGAATATGCAATGACAACAAAAAAGGAAGGCATTCAAAATACCCCCTAAGGTCACGTTTGGTCCCTTAGGATTGGTAGATGGGATAACTTACTAGATTCAAGGTATGCTGAAATGTTTTAAAAGGCTTGCCTCAGGGCGCGCCTAGGCGCCCTGTGAGGTTAGGCTTGAGGGTTGCCGCCTCTGTTTTGAGGGAGTGGACGGAAGGCACCGCTAGAGCCACCTAGGCATGCCTTAGGGGAAATTCCCTTTTTTTTTTTTTCTGATTTTTTTTTTTTTTATATAATGGATGTGTGTGCTATGTGCGTGTATTGTTATATGTGTGCTCATTGTGTTTTTCATCCTCTATTATATATATATATATAGGGAATTGTTATTGACACTCCAAAAATCTCATTCTACACTCCAAACTTTCTATATTTGGAAAGAAAAATACACTTGTGAGGAATGTAGAATGAGATTTTTGGAGTGCCAATAACACTTCCCATAATATATATATACAATATAATATATGTACATATATGTGTGTATATGTATTTATAATATATGTGTGTGCTAGGGGTGATTATTGATTAATAATCTTTTTTTTATTTTTAATATAATATATGTGTACACTCAGTGTATATATTAAAAAAATTAGGTCCCGTGAGGCTCACGCCTAGGCTGGGCTATCCCTCGGACGCCTCGCCCACGCCTCACGCTTTTAATACATTGTGTTGAAGTAAGAGATGAAGACCGTTCCTTCAACTTGGGCAGAATTAGCCTTCATATCTTACTTCAAGATACTTTGAATCTAGTGAGTTGTCATATCCAATCCAGTCCAAACCCAGGCACCAAACGTGGCCTAAAACAAACTAGATAGTTCCCTATCTGTTTGAATTGCCAATTAAGAACGACTAGCCTAGTTCCCTATTTGGTGGCTGGGACTACAGATCGCTAGACCAATTAAAATGGAATAACTGTCGTGGCCTATGCTCGATGAGCTTAACAATAGCGGGACTAAGACTCAGTGAAATTAGATAACTTTCCCACTTATCAAAGACAACATGTCTCCTCCCCAAGGGTTGGGAGAATCTAACATGCAACCGGAGGTATATCCCCCTACTAACAGTATCTATATCATCGTGTGAGCTATTAATATCTTTCTCATCATGTGGATTTACATGATGAGAGAGACTAATAGCTCACACAATGAGAGAGAAACAAGAGGGGGTACACACCCCCGTTTACCAAATAATCCCCTCCCAAGCCGGGACTCTACGGTAGAGTGCTGGACTCGGTCCTAATCCTGCGACAGGATTCCAGTCCGGTCCCAGCCGCCAGACGGGTATCCCAACTAAAGACTGAAATTCAAGTCCAAATCTGTTGCATGTCTAAAATGCATTCTCCAAACCAATGCAAAGCAGAGAACCTAAATAAATGACTCTTCAAGAGATCTGAGTTAGTTCACAATATTGGAGAATAACCAAGTCAATTTATTTACTTATAACTCTCATAATCTTCATAGCATAAACCGCCCTGTCCATTAAGTAAATTAAACAAAAAACACCCCGACAACTATAAGTTTCATACAAAAACACCTCAAGAGCCCAATTGGAGGAAAAAAAAACCCTCACCTATACACATACTCTTAACTATTCTTAGTTGTGAAATACTTCCCCCGTTACCAAGTGAGTCGATTGGGTATTTTCGTGAAGTATTAGGTTTGAAGTGGTTTTTCTCTAAATTATAAATTTATCAAGGACCTACAAGTGAAAACCCCATTACAATTTCCCATTTACTGAAACATAAGCACTCAATTTTCTTCATTTTTTCTTGCATTTTCATTCGACCCACTTCATGTTTCTGTTTCTTCACTAATTACTAAGAATCTTACTCAAACATAAGCACACAAAAACATAGTAACAATCGAATAAAACTGCAAACTGAGGACAAACAGAAATCTTTCTGAAAGAACGAACGACAACCTCGGAGGTTTTTCTTTGTTTCTATATCTGTAGATGAAACGGAAAACTTACAGCAGGAGGAGTTCCGAGTCGGTGAGATCGCACGATCGGGTCTGTCAACAGGAATTCTTGAACCTTCTTCTTGTCTCCACTTCTGACGAGATAATGAGACAGAAACTTTCCCACGACAGGAATTCTTGAACCTTCTTCGTCTCTCCACTTTTTGGTGATCAACGACAATGCAATGGGTGTCGTATTCATTGTTGGATCATCAATTTTCTATTTCAAAATCGAGAAATACTAAAGAAAATCTCTTAAAATTAGACTCTCCATGAATTTTCTGTTACCTCATTATTTAACGATAATTCTCGTATTAACATTAGAAAATACTGTGCCGAAAGAGGTGTGAGAGAGTTTATGAAGATGCTCATTTTTAAGAGAGTCTCCTTAGCATTCATCTTCAAAGTAATAGTTATATAATCTGCTCTCTTTTGTTGGTCACTCACTTTTAAATCTGGGCTCGATAGTAATCTCAAAAGGTTGGTCTTATAGAAAACAATCAAGGGTTTGAAAGTTCTAACTCGCATGTTGGCTTCTTTGGAAGTCACCAACTTTAAATTGACGTACCGTTTGACTGGGGGCCAAATTATGATGCCAACTAATGTGGTTCTAGAGCTACATTGGGTGGCCACACATTATTTGGCCACCTAATGTCTAGGACAGCATTTCTAAATAATAAAAAATACCACTCATCTATAATTTTCATACCTTTAAGTTGGTCACAATTTTTTTCATTTCTTCCTTTAACACACCTTAAAAACAGTGGTTCACCAATTTCAATCCAATCTTCTATACCAAATAAGGTCTGAGAGAGTAGTATTTATTGGGGTTTGTGGGAGTGTTTTTTATTTAAGCTTTAACCAGCTGAGCGTCAAAATAAGTTAGAGAAATTTGGAGCTTGTAGTTTTTAAGTTTGTTGTTTTGATGGTTTAACAAAGCATGTTGGCTTTTTCCGACGGACACTTCCCTGGCCATCTGTGGTGGCGGGGAGAGGAAACCTCTAACTTTTCACTCCTCACCTCCGAACTCCCTAATTGTCGGCGACGCAGCACGGTGGATGGTACATCAGACTTTACACAAAACTCCAGTGTTTAGCGCGACACTAGTATTTGGAAGTTTTTGGCTCACCATCTACAACAAAGGAACTCGGATTTCGGTTGAAACCACGAATTCAATTGCTTGGTGGTGGTGAGGGCCAACCGAATTGAAATAGGGAAATGGAATCCACAGAGCCCATTTTCCCCTTATGCACATCCGTTAATTTTTGTTCTCGACTTCCCTTTGAGCTATTCAATGCAAATGCCAAAACTGGAAAGAGATATATAAGTAGAGAAAATGGCTGACGTGATAATAAATTCCCCTAAAATATAATACTCAATGCATACTCGATGAATATAATACTATCGTTTTGGGTTCTGGTATACCAGGAGATCCATGAATAATAAGAAACGAAAATTGAGAAACGTTGAAAGAAACTGAACATTTGTCAACCATTCTCAATTATAAGGCTCCAAACAGACGTCTTGATGTTCCATTCATCGCCAAACATAATATTTCACAACAATATGTTCAATTTTAATGTCACTACAGCTGCGTTTGTTACACTGAATTACCTTGCCCAATCGGGCTATTTTGAGTTGGCCCCCAAGTTGTATCAAACATGGAGGTATTTAACAAGCGACATCTACCTTTCATGTCATCTGCTGCCATGCTGAGGAGCTCTGAGCGGGTTTCTCAGCGTGCCTCATACTGAACAACTGCAAAAACAACCATGAGTCATTATAAATCATTGAATATTGTCACTGAGAGAACCATAGATGAATGATATATATATATATATATATATATGAAAAGGCTAACAAGAACGCATTCAACAGTGCTACATAAGGGACACTACAGCAGAATAGGAAAGAAAGAGGACACGACAGTGTTACAACTTCTTTGTGTGTTCACGTTTATCATTTTTTTTTTTTTTTTTTGGCTTTCAAATTGATGTAAGGATGAAGTTCTCTTTCAAAAGTGGACCATATCAATCCAATTCTTTATGAATCAAATGTACGATAGCTGTGCTGGTAGCTAGTATAACATGGCAATGTCATCAAGACGTAAAAGAAACAAAAGAGAGTATATATAGCACATTACTGTAGGACTAGCATAACTTAATGCCTAACATGAACAAAGTGACAAAACAGCCTTTATTGTTTCGTGTGCAGTTACCATATTGTGATTTACACTTTGTGGCACCAATACTGCTAGCTCGATCAATGACCTTAAATCAGCAGGAATGACAGATATTTCAACAAAATTCAAATAATTGGGTGCAACGCTTTTCCTAACTTTGATTCAGAATCTTGCCGATTAAATTCAGTGATCAAATATTAGTATTGGTGCATCTTGGTGTAGGCTAAGTGGACGAAAAACCATATCCTCTAAGCCGGAGCCCTAAAAACTAACGGAAAACTTATCACTCTGGTCAGTATCGCTAATTGGCATCAATATAACGATTTCCTACAGTGCCTATAACTTCACAAATAATTTCTGTTGCTAAGGTGTAATAGGATTTTTTATTAGTATTGCTAAGATAACAGCTACTAATTACTAAAGATGAAGAACACGTGAAACATAACGAATTTCACCATCTTGTACTAAAAGGGTGGCAACCAGCCGAACAAAGAATGAATTCGACCAGGCTTTTTAAGTTTTAATAAAAACCTGATGAGATACTATGAACTGAGAAAACAACAAAAAGACAATGACGCCTAATTGAACCTAAATTGGGCCTATTGGACCAGTGTAGTTTTCAAGCGCATAATTGGGTGTAAATGCAATGATTAACTCTCCAAAGGGATTGGAAGGATTCACCTAGAAAGCCACTCAAGTTTTGAGGTATTCATAACCAATTAATTTGTAGATTTGCTCGCTGCCAAACATTTCGATCAGAAAACACTAAATGCTGACAGTGAAAAAACACAAATTCCTTACCCAAAACCATGTCCTCCTTTTGCAACAAACTAAAACTAATGTCATACTACGAAATTCGGAAAGTGACACAAACCCTAAAACATAAAACAATAAGCTAAAAAATTCGACTACCTCTACCGTTCGAATAATCACGAGAATCCACAATTGTCAATCCGAGATCGATTACTGATAATTGGGAATTTACCCAATCCCCCGAATATATGCAAATAATTAACCTTCGGAGAAATCAACCAATATTGCAACAATAAAAGCATTTAAGGACATCGAGACTTACTGCGGCGAGTACGCTTCTTGTATAAGATACGGTAACCGCACTCGCGGCACTGAATCACATCGTTGGATTTCAGCTGCACCTCCATCCCACAATCTACAATACATTACAACAACATTAAATCCCTAATTTAATATCACAAATTCAAATTCTTCTCTATGTAATTCATCTCGAAGACGAAGAAAGGGAAGATCAATACCTCCACAGATGTAGTAGACGGCCTCTGGCGGCGGAGGATCCATGAGAAGAGCTCGAAAAGGCTGTTAATTTTCTAGGGTTTTGCTGCTTCTGCTTTCAGGGAAACAAATAATCACGGGGTTTTTCCTTTTATTGGGACTTCTCCTGGACTGTTATTATATGTAACATGGGCTGAAATGGATTTGGGTTTTAAGCCCAAACTATTTGGACTGACTAGTTGAGGTCGGCAAACTTTTGCGTACACCCAAAAGCGTTTTGGGACACCGTCATAGAATTTGTAAAGATAGTTGAAATTGGACATTCAAGAATTTTTTTTTTTTAATTAATAAAAAAGGACCAGCTAGAAGTTTTGTTACGGCAATCCACTATTTTGAAAGTCAGGAAGCACAAAGACATTCTAGCTCCTCTTGACCACCATCATGAAATTCACCAACGTCAGGAATCGAACTTAAGATGTGCATTGAAAGTCTTTGAATTCTATCAACATTGTGCATGCAATTTAAAATAAATTGAAACTAATAAAAAAAAACAAAAAAAATCCTCAATTTTAGGTGCTGCAATTACCCTTCTTGTAAGTAAACTATTTATAAGTAGCCTGTCACACCTACAAATAACAGTTCAATTTTTTGGACCAAGATTAAAATACTCCCTCTAAATGTTGTGAATGGTTGTTTTGTACTAACGGGACAAACATGTTCAGCGTCGTGTATATGTCAGCGCATGTATGTATACAGTAAGTCTTTATAATCGTTCTAGTGACAATATATGACTACAGGGCCATAAGCTTCACAGATTCATACACTTGTAATACTGGATGCTTAAGGATAAGACTTTTTTTAAGAAGTCTATAAAACTACCATTTTTCAGCCACTTACTACAGTCTTGCGGTATTCCTCTTCATTTGTAAGTGAGATGTTTTCCGTTCGAATCTCCTAAATGGCGAATTCGATACCAACCATTTTGTGGCTTAACTCCCATCTCCCCTTACTGTAAAATATATTGTTGTACTTAAAAAAAAAAAAAAAAAAAAAAAAAAAACACCTACGATTTTCCATGGAAACATTTAAATCATGAGATGGCATACAAAGCCCAAACCCCTCCTCTGACCTAACAAGGCCTCAAAGAGGGGTTAGCCTAGCAAGGATAAATAAGGAGTTAACCTGCACCATCAACGACAAGATGAAAATTCCTACAATCGTGGCTTCGTCACATGCCATGAAATCCGATGTGGCTAAGACACCTTAAATGAGACTCTTACTAAGGTTAAGGTGCCCTTCATGTCTTCCAAAGTCAAACGACTAAATGTTTTAATCGGTGAGATAACAAGTCAAACGACTAATGAATCACCTTCAAGTTCAGACTTGCCATCATATAAAGACATGACTTTAAAAGTAATTTACATTTCCATCCGCACCAATTCATCTCTACCCCAAACATAAAACAGCACTATAAAATATTATCCTACCCCCTTAGTCTTTATACACACCAAATATAGGATATGATTAAGTCCAAGACAAGCCTATCCAGCCAGCTCAATCTGTAAAATTAGTCCAATTCGAGCCAATCTTGCGTAACAAACATCCTTTCAATAGCTTTGTTATGTTTGCCTCACAACTGCTAGTAAGAAAATGGTAAATGTTCCAAATAAAACACCCTATGAAGCTCCACAGTAACAATTAAAAGTGACAAATAATTTTTACCTTTTATGCATCAAATACATTGAATTAGTGTAATTGGAAAAAGGAAAAGAATGAAAGAATTGGAATGAAATTAAAGGGCCTAAAATGAAAAAGTTAAAAGCTAAAAGTAACAATAAATAGTTAAAGCTGGTATCCCTTGAGCTTCTTAAATTCACTAACCAATAATTTTCTTCCATCACTTGTATAGAATCAGCAACCTGCAGCTTTTAGGAAGTTATCATATGGACTCGACGCCGGTAGCCTGAAAGAGTGGGGATGATGCTGGTATTCGTTTACACACATCACTGAGGCACGGCCTGCGGTTGGGGGTGGATTGTATGAAGTGGCAGTGTCATCAACAAATGGATTTCCGCTCTGTATTGTCATTCAAGTTCACAGCTTTAGATTTAAAATACCAGCCAGAGTGTGTGCATGGTACTTGTACAGTACTAAGTATGCCTAATTTTGGTTAAAGCCAGAAAGCAGTACCCTATATGAGCCGAAGTCAGCATGGAAACCAGATGTTATCCATTTCGCATCATCATTATGATTTTGTAAAGACTGGTTCATCAAATACTCCTGCTTCTGTTGGGAGCTCATCAAATTCAACATCTTCTGCTGCTTTCCTATCAGGAGTGCCTCACAGTGCCCAGCCATTTCTTTGTATGGCACATCAGGTGCATTAGAGATCGACAGTCTTCCAACTTGATGTGCTGTCTCCAGGACCTGAGCACATAAAAACATTGTAATGGTGAACACTTCTCACTCTGAATCTTGCCCGTGAACAAACAACAGAAGACTATTTTTTTTTAAAAGCGATCAAACTAAATATAGAACATGCAATGGCTAACGTACAGATTCAATAAATTGATTGACGCTCAGAAGATTGGGAGAATCTGCAGAAAAATCTAAGTTGTTCTTTTGGCTATCAAATGAACCTGGAAAGGAATCATCATCCAATGAAAATATTGGAGCATCCTGCATTACAAGAATAAAACCATGAGTCCTGAGCTTTAAGAGAAAACTTGATGCTGACCACCTCTAACTGTGGTGTGGTGATAAGTACCTCCATTTCTTCCCTCTCAACGCTTATGTTTTAGTTGCTACACCCCCACACAACCAAAAAACAAAAACAAAAGTGAAAGCTATGAAGGGTACTTACCTCCTTCATAGATTTACTGTCTCGGGAATCAACCTGATATAACTTTTGCGGCGCATCCATACAGAACTGGGCTCCCAGTGGACATACATCATCAGGTAAGAATTCACTGAGCAGCTCCTCCCTTATAGTAGACAATTCGGCCTGCATAAATAGCTTGCTATTCATAATCCATGGTATAACACAAATGATTTCTTTTCCTGCACTATGAAAAGTCCAAAACACTTAAACAATCGGTATAAAAGCTTACATCTAACAATCTTTCCAAGCTCTTCACAACTTCAGAAGCAAAGAATTCCTTAGTTTGCTCTTCAGTAATATTTATCTCGGACAGAGATTTTAATGCCAGACGATCATCTTCTTCAGATCCATAAAGATGTCTGGGATGGTCCGGTCCAGTCTTAACAGCCTGTAACTTGCAATCTTCAACCAAACGCAGGAACGGATCAACCTGATTAAGTGTGTAAAGCTGTCAAAGCTATTTTATGTTTGATAGAGAAGTTTGATTATGGAAATCTCACATAAAAAGATACCAGTACATGGTTCACTTTCTTTAAGTCCTTCATGTCCTTAGAATTGATAAGTTTATGCAAAATGCGCATACATAAGCAAGTAGTTATTAAAGATAATTTGAAGCTTATGAGACCACAGGAAATTAACGAGGCAACCTATGGGAAACTTCACCTGAAAAAGCAACTTACTATTTTATCCACAAGTACTGCCTTGGCTCTACGAACAAGAGAAACAATATTGTATGCTTTTGATAGAAAGAGAATCATTGAAGTTGCCAGGGTAAAGAGGGACCTGCGACGCGATGGTGGCAGCACACCTGAAAAGATAGAGGGAAAGAGCTTGTTATGACATCCTAACAAATAAATTATTGACTATCCAGTCTATTACTTAACCAATGTTTTACTTTCTCATGTTTTCTTCTCTAACTAATATTTAACATTAGCAAATGAATTAACGAACAATTATATCTTATCATCATAAATGAAAACGCAAGCATAAAGCATATGCATTATGCATGCTCATTGGTTTCGACATACTGTGGGGCTCACCTCCTTCATTAAGAGATATGTTCCGCAAGGAAAATGCTAGCTGAAAACTTCGAACAAGAACCTCAATTCTGGAATTCTACAACAAAAGATAAACAACAATAAGAAGAGAGAAAACTAAACAAAAATAAGAAGAGAGAAAACAAGAATATAGAAGCAACAAAGATGAAGGAGTGACAAAATAATAGTGCCATTATCCGAGTATAGAACCGGAAAAAGTTCCCCAAGTCGTCTCTTTAAAATTCTGAATTCTCCATATACTTTAGAGTCAGAGTTTTCCCATGCTGACATTACCCTCAAAATTACAATGGCATAGGAGGTGGGAAGTGGGCTAAGAAGCTTATAAAGAAGTTAGCACCAGTTACGGAAGATTAAGACAATGTCTTGAGCTTCAAATAAGCAATGATCTAGGACGGTTTTGAGCGAATCTTAAAAATTATGTTATCATTTTTCATTTTTATTCTAGTGCAATTACATAATAATCAATTGTCAGAGGTTCCAGGGCATACAGTTGGAATTCATAGGGAAGATTGATCAACCTTTACTTGTGCCTCAATTCCTTCCAGGATTAAAATAAAAAAGTGATGACTAGGATGTAAAACAATCCACTAAATACACTCTGAAGAAGAAGAAAACTGGAAATGAACTAATTCCTGTAACATGTTAACTATTGCTCCAGCTAAATATTAAGCAATAACACGAAAGGATGCAATTTATCATGCAAATATGCTATCAACATCGGATGCCATTAAAATGAAAATGCCATCAGAAAGAATAGAAACTATTAGAAAAAAACATCACCAGCATATATAATAGAAGAGACTCATCAAGCAACATCACTCAAGCAATTACCTTGGCCCGAGAAAAAAGTACTACGAGGCTATGTGTGTGAGCAATTGCTTCATAGTTTTCAGGCATATTCCCAGGAGAGATGGATTGCACCCAAATTGATAAAAGCAAGAGAGTTATCTGGTGGCTGCTCAATCTGAGGGAATTAGCTTCCTGAGGTTTAACAAATAAAAACAGCTATTCACAATCAAATCAATGTTGCTAGACAACTATTGAACTCCAAAAGTCTAATTTTTTATGGAATGTGACAACAATGTATATCAAGCTAACATCCTCTCCCTCACGTACAGCCCCCTCCTGCACATGAGGGAGACAAACACATCGAGGCAGAGAGAACCATATGGCTGCACCCCTACGCTGCATCTTGCAAATAAAAAATAAAAGGGAGCAATGAGGAGA